GTGGGTGGGGACTGGAAAAGAGTGAGTTGCCATGGGAACAGAATTTTTTATAGCCGTAGGTGTGTTTCCTCCAGAACTATTAGCCTACCAAGTTTCAATGGTCTGCACTGCAAATTGACCAAGATAGCTCTATTTATATACTTGATATAAAATTGGGTTGAGTGTAGTACGTCATCAGGCATCTCATCTGCATATTTTACACATTTTTCAAACTCAAATATCTCTGGAACTAATGCAGATATTTGCAAACCGTAAACGGCGTCTTTATTCTTTCATGGAATTCTATGTGATACACCAAAAAATTCAAGGGGGAAATATTTGATCACAGTACGACTTTAAGATGTCCTCCTCTTTCAGGAATAATTTTCTCACTTCTTGTTTTTCTGAGTTTTAGTGTGGTACGGCATGTAATCCTGCAGGACTTTTGTGCCAAAATTGATTTTTTCGCTGTTTTGCACTAATTTTGGGTCGAATACTAAGAATCCAGTGGGGTTGAAATTTTCTTAACCTGTCTTCCAATGTTTCTGTTTACTTTAGGATTTAATTCATGCTACTGTACTTTATGCTAATTAAATGCAAAAAAAAGTTTTGCTGGTATCTTTGCTCTTAAATTCAAGATACACAGACCAAACTTTATACAAGGCTTGCTCTTGATGATGTACGTTGTATGACTTAAATTGGTTACCATGGCAACCAGCGATGAAAATATCATTGACTCTTGTTAGTCCCATAGTAACAACGCAGACGCTATTCACCTTCTTTCTGTTATGTATAATACTAATGTATAGTTCTGTTAAAAGTGTTCTTGCATAAAATGTGACTAAAGTTCTTATGCACTAAGAGTTTAATCCTCCTCCTCGGGTGTCATCTGTGAATGGATTGGTACAGTTTTTTCCAAAGCATTTGCAGTGTCATTTACAGCAGCTACAGCGTCGCTTGCAGTCTGACTTGCAGCCATGTTTGGTAAGCTCAATAACAGCTTGGGGTGCAGGGAGAGACAGGCACATAATGGGAACGTATGCTCCTTGGTGTTTGCTCCAGCCATTCTTTTTAATGGGAGGAAGATCTGGGTAGCTGACGGTATAGCATTTGTTGTGCATGGCCATGAAGTTTGCGTACGTGATGTGTGGGAGTTAGGAAACATGTGTTGGAGGCAGCATCTCACTTTCCAAGTTCCTGGATCGAAAGTGCTCCTACTGAAGTTCAGGAAGGGTAGTAGGACCTGCTTTGCAGTACACTTGGCAGACATATTTTTCTAGTTCTTTAATCAACTTGAGTTGGCAGTTCTCTGTTGGCTGTATGGTTTTGGATAAGACCCTCACCAAGCTCTCTGAAACAGTCGATTGCGGGATAGTCGTCACTGAGTGCCATGTAAGCTTTCACCCAGGTCTTCTTCATGATACGAACAAACTTCCCTTCCTAGTCGGCTCTGGAGATGTGGTACAATCCAATCAGACTTTGACACTTGTGTATTCCAGTCGCTTGCACTCGCTGAATAACATCAATCTCTCTGTAGTTTGCGCCCTTGCCTGTCAAAAATTTCAGGTTATTCAGGTTTCCATGATGTCCTCTGAAAACCAAGTCGAGCAGCTGGACTAGTACATCAGTGTTCAGCAAGGATACCCAAATCTGTTGCAACAAATGCTCATCTAGTGCAATGCCTGGTTAGGNGAGCTTGTGAGGGCCGGACTTGATGGTGGGGTCTGTGATAAGGTGAAATAAAGCTCCCTCTGCAAAATGGTATTTGGTTAATCCTCTCTATACTACTACAGTTCTTAAAAAAAATACAAGACAAACACCGCACTCAGTAAACAACAACAACAAAAAGTGACCACGCTGGGAGGTTTGAGATTATTTCCAATTTCCAAAAGAAACAAGAAATTCTACTTCCAAACTTTAGTTCTGCAAAGGAAGGGAAGCAAAGCAAAAAAGTGCTAGCCTTTCTCCTCCCCGTTCGATCTCATTACCCTCAAAATATGCAAATTTGCACTTCGATACGATATTTACGGTTTTTGTAAGATCTCCGCAAAACGGTTAATTACAAATTTTTAAGATAGTCTTCACTAAAGATCCTAGTGGGGGATCCATCAGGCAACATTTTTACAAATATCTTACTGTCCAAGGACCAACAGCTAAGAAGTAAACCCTCTCTCCGCATCTTGTTTGCTTGACCCGTGACAAAGCGTTTGTGACCTGTGAGGTTTCATTAATAAAGATGCGATCTTTAAACTCTGGAATGGATACCGGGCATCTTGGAAATGCACTTGACATTTTCACTGTCTTGAACCTTGTTCTTGCTTTATATAGTTTGGTTTTAACTTTGTGGCTTGCAAACTTAACGATAATTGTGGTATTGCTGTTTCTTCTTTTAAGATGATGCAATATTTCTATATCATTTAATGAAATGTCAACATCTAATGCATTGGCGATTGTGAGGACCACCTCCTCCGTAGAGCTGTATGCTTCTTTTGGGGCACCATAGATTTCCAGGCTGTTTTTTCTTGTATATTGTTCTAAGCTATCAAGGTTATCCCATAAGTTGTATATTTCATCATCTTGTTTATTAATCTTAACTTTTACCGTGTTGAGTTCATGTTCCAAAGCCTTGATCGTGTGTTTATGGTTGCAGCCCCAGTCTTGTGGAACAACCTTCCCTTGTCAATGGGGCAAGCCACGAACGTTAACACTTTTAAGCGTTTAGTTAAGCTTCATTTGTTCACTAAGGCCTTTTAAGATTTTATTTTAAGTCTGATTCTAGAATATGTTATAGGATTTTAGGTCTTAAATTTTAAGATGCATGTGTAGTTTTAATTCTCAATTTGTAATTTTTAAGAATTTATCTAATTGTAAGGCGCTTTTGACTATTTTTATAGGAAAAGGGCAATATAAGTAATAACTGTTGTTTTTGTAAGCGAAATGCCTGTTCTGCTCTAGTCAGAGCATGTCTCCAGAGTTATAACCAAATGTTTTAGCATTCTCACCTACTTTGTTGAATCACTCATTGTAGAACATTTGCCAAAATAAATTCCATTGCTACCGTATAAAAAAAAATTCAGATGAGCTCCCAACGCTAGTCTAGTATATTTGTCTCAAAACTAAAGGCAGAGGCAGTCAGTTATGAAATAAACACAATAGTAAAGCTTATGCCATCTAGTTCAAAAATGACTTGTACACGTTCAAAATGTGAAATCTTTAATAGAAAACGGTAGTAGTTTACCTTGATAAAGAAAAGAGCATGCATTTTTTCGGGATGTTAACCAGATAGAGCAAAGGACAAATAATCAAACATTAATGCACTAAAAGTGTTCTGGTACTTGGGGGCCAGTGAAAAAAAGTGGTTTAACCGACATTTTTACTTAGGTTAGCTCAGTCTTAGAGACGAAAAAGCAATAACAATACCTACTGAAGCACAAAAAAAAATGCTTAAGTCACCGCTTATTGAAACAAGACTATAACCGTGTTAAAAGTGGACAGCTATATGCGCTGCACAACAGACTTGGAGTACAACAAGACAGAAGACTTAAGTGATGCATGACTTGGAAAATCTATCAGAACCTCCTTAATATAAATTTGCTAAAAGCTGTTGTAAAAGCATTTTAATCCTACTAACAGCTCATTTTTGAAAGCCTGGAGTCTCAAGCAGCTGTAAGAAGAAGAAGAGACGATGTTATTTGAAGTAATTTTGAAGTAATTTGAAGCTTGGGGGCCAGATGAATTAAGATGAAAATTTACCTCAAAGTTGAAGCAAAATCAGCTCAAATTCAAAATTTACTTACAAAGAATTGTGTATCTGATGATCATGTCAATATACAACCCCGTGATTCATGACAATAAAGCTTCAACATCTTGAGACTAACCTGCATCATTTGTCTTCTTGTGTGAACATCTTGGTAAAAAGGTAAAGTCTGTATACGAGCCAAGTGGCCCATCAGGCCGGAGCTTATCCCAGTTTCTGTAGCATGAAGCAACTATGAGTATTTCTACTCCCTTCTGAATGGGATGCTGGTCCATCGCAGGGTTACCCCCAGCATTAAGTTCACCGGTACCTATTTATACACCTGGGTGGAGAGAGGCACTGTGAGAGTAAAGTGTGACTTGCCCAAGAACACAACACAATGTCCCTGGCCAGGGCTCGAACCCGGACCACTCGATCCGGAGACGAGCGCACTAACCATGAGGCCACCGCGCCTCCTGTATGAACATTTTGAAGTTCAGTAAATCAAATGCCAAGCTCCACTTCTTTGGGCCTTTATCTCGTTCTGTTCACACTTTGATCATTAAAATATTCTTATCTGAACTCCTAACAAACATGAAGAACATCCATATTGATAGAAAAGGGGGTAAACTTGTTACATTCTTTCATCTCTCTTGACAAGATCTTTTTCACAGGGTAGATCGCCCATTTCAAAACCCGCCGCAGTGCATCACACAAATTGCACCGAAATGGCGCACAAATGGTCAGCACACAAATGACGCCGAACTCATAATTATAACTCGATTACCTTCACGTATGAGCGAACAAAATACCCATGTTCTGGTACAATCTTGCTACCAGTTCATTGAGAAATTCTGTTACAGTAATAGACAATGAATAGAAGTATTTGATTGCCATTTAACCGTACTTTGCAGATGGTATTTTCTGGAAACAGTGATGCTGAGACTGTCGTCACTCACTGGTTTGCTGCTGATAGAAAGATCACAGCACGATTTGTTCGAGTTGTTTGCTTGTCATGCGATCCGGATTTGATTTGCTGTTTGAGATTTGAGGTGTTTGGATGTGATGGAGGTGTGTATATATTTTCAGTCCTTTTCCAGAAAACAAAGCTTCCTTTATTTCCCAGATCACAACCAAATGATGATTGACTACATAATTTACATGTAATACAAGGCAGCATTGCCTTTGCATCATCATTTTGGATGGTATTTTTTTGCAAGTGGATTTTTTTATGCCTGTGGCTCAGAGAAATGCCCAGTCAATTTCTGGGGGTATGGGCACTAAAAATCTAGAAAATGAATTGGCAAACCCAAGAGAAAATGAGGGGACAGAGAGGGACATTGAGGGACATTGAGGGCATTGGCTGGAATATGTCAATTCCACTAAAGTTATTTTTAGTTTTAGACGGAAACAGAAGTCAATTTCCCCAGACATCTGCATAATGCCTTTCACCCCAGTGATCAGGGAATTTTGAAAGGGCGGTCTGTGTGGAAATACGTTTTGTCAGTAGAAGCGTCTAAAGAAAAATGATAGATTCCACAACCTCTTTGGAATAAAAACACTGGGTGGAAGAAATATCAAAGATTGTCCCCTGAGAATTTGAATTGAAGAAAACGGCGATGACAACAAGAAAGAATTTACTTGCTTTCTTTTGTATAGCAACGTAGAGATTTCTGAAGTATCCTATTGTTCAATATTGTAACATAACATAAAATAAAGTACTGTTTCAATCTGTAGCGATCCTCTAGACGCAGCGACGAAAGAAATCTTAGCCCACCAAAGAAAACTGTTTTGGTTCCCACGACAAAACTATTTTTGAACCCAAGTGACAAAATTGCTCTTAACCCAGCGACAGGAGTAATTCTGGCTGAGCTGCATGTAAAACAGTTTGGAGGGTGGCGAAAGTATTTTGAATCCAGAGACCAAAACAACTTGAAGCCTAGCGATTAGTGACAGAAACTGATTTGAATACTATACGACAACAAAGCAATTCCCAACCATACGACAGAAGGTTATTTGAACCTTAAGAGCACGGATAAAACAACTCGGAGTGTAGCAATCAGCCTACAAAATGACTCAACAAAACAACAGCTCGGAGCGACTGAAGTGATCAGCGACAGAAATAATGTTGATTAGTGGTACAGTGACAAAATAGCCTGAAGCCCCACTTGAAGGCACAGGGGATACGGACACTACATTTTGGTTATTGTGTCCAATTAGAAACGAAAAATTCCCATAAATACCACATTTGTATAATACCCAACCACAACAAAAAACATGTAGAGTTAAATTTTACATTTAGTCAAGTGGCTCTTGTAAATCACATGTGAGTACCGACACTACAGGATTTTGGCAACCATTTAATTAAGTCTCAACTTTGAAGTACAATAGACATTTTTTCTTACTGCATATAACTAGAACATTAAAATTTTTACCAAGAATATAGATGTCAAATGCACTCAGAGGTATTTCTAGTGATATAATGTTTAACTTTTCGAACAAAACCTCGTTTTGGAGCTAAAGGTTCTAAAATACCATTTTGCATAAGGTGGTATGGTTAAGCAATCTGACCTCAGGTCAAATATATAACTGCATCCACCAAAAAATGTTTGGATTTCATATTTACACATATCTAAGAATCCAAAGAATTTACCCTCATTTTCAAACAATGCACAGTCATTACTTACAATGAAGGAGCCAAAAATAGAAAATTTCAAGTGGCCTTCCATAATTCTAAAATTCTGGCGGGTCTAAAACACAGGTCACAGGTTATTGTTTTACCAATACTGGAACAACCTTAAACCTTTACTAATACTAACCTTAAGCCTAAACATTGTCTTAGTGTTAAGTATTTAGGCCTAAAACATTGTCTTAGTGTAGTACTTAGGCCTAAGGTTAGTATTAGGAAGGGGTTAGGGTTGTTCCAGTATTGGTAAAACAATGACCTGTGACCTGTGTTTTAGACCCTCTGACCTTCTCTACTTTTTTGACAATCCATATTACAGATGCAGTGTACTTAAAATGTTTGTCCCTGGACACCTTTTATGATGAAAGTTAGAAAACACTCAAATGGAACAAGTTTTTTACAGATTTTTCAGCCCGTAACATAGACACTGAACTTTGCCACCCTGATTGTGTTTTAGCCAAGTTTAATGCTTTTGTTACATCATTGTAAAACAANTAATGTATAGTTCTGTTAAAAGTGTTCTTGCATAAAATGTGACTAAAGTTCTTATGCACTAAGAGTTTAATCCTCCTCCTCGGGTGTCATCTGTGAATGGATTGGTACAGTTTTTTCCAAAGCATTTGCAGTGTCATTTACAGCAGCTACAGCGTCGCTTGCAGTCTGACTTGCAGCCATGTTTGGTAAGCTCAATAACAGCTTGGGGTGCAGGGAGAGACAGGCACATAATGGGAACGTATGCTCCTTGGTGTTTGCTCCAGCCATTCTTTTTAATGGGAGGAAGATCTGGGTAGCTGACGGTATAGCATTTGTTGTGCATGGCCATGAAGTTTGCGTACGTGATGTGTGGGAGTTAGGAAACATGTGTTGGAGGCAGCATCTCACTTTCCAAGTTCCTGGATCGAAAGTGCTCCTACTGAAGTTCAGGAAGGGTAGTAGGACCTGCTTTGCAGTACACTTGGCAGACATATTTTTCTAGTTCTTTAATCAACTTGAGTTGGCAGTTCTCTGTTGGCTGTATGGTTTTGGATAAGACCCTCACCAAGCTCTCTGAAACAGTCGATTGCGGGATAGTCGTCACTGAGTGCCATGTAAGCTTTCACCCAGGTCTTCTTCATGATACGAACAAACTTCCCTTCCTAGTCGGCTCTGGAGATGTGGTACAATCCAATCAGACTTTGACACTTGTGTATTCCAGTCGCTTGCACTCGCTGAATAACATCAATCTCTCTGTAGTTTGCGCCCTTGCCTGTCAAAAATTTCAGGTTATTCAGGTTTCCATGATGTCCTCTGAAAACCAAGTCGAGCAGCTGGACTAGTACATCAGTGTTCAGCAAGGATACCCAAATCTGTTGCAACAAATGCTCATCTAGTGCAATGCCTGGTTAGGGATCAGCATGTCTGCTTCTTTGTGGGTGTGTTCTTCTTCACAGTCGAGACATTTGATTTTGTCATCATAAACCACGACCAGCTCGATGACTGTGTTGCTGGAGAAGTGTGCTAATAATCCATTGGTGAACAAAGTGAGCAGCATGCTTTTGGACTTCGACAATGACAGAAGGTCCTTGATGGACATGGTGAGCTATCCTCATTTCCAGATGTATCTGGAACTTGACAGATGTTGTGGATCTTTTTCGGTATGTCTTGTTCTTCAGGGGGCTTGTTCTTCCAAGTAGCGATCAAACACTATTCGGCCTTCATCAAAACCAGACACCATTCGCTCAATATGCTTGATAAATGATTCTTGGAGGTCAGAAATCTTCAGGAGTGTGCTTGTTTCTTTCCGACCTGTATGCAAATCATAAACACAAAATTTTATACAAAATATTATTGTTGTTGTTGTTGTTGTTATAGTTACCTTGAATGACAACCATATAGTATTAATAACAAGTATTTGATGTAGATTTCCTGTTGCTGATGGTGTTTTTAGTTGTGGCTGTGGGTTGGCCTCCTCTATCAAACATATCAGGCTGGCTTTGTCAGTTGAAATATAAAGAGATCCATTGACTGTGCATAAGGAATGCATTAACGCAGCACCACTGTCATTAATGGTTTCCTGGAGTCTTGGCACAAGCTCTGGCCTACTTTCTTGGATTATGAGAAACCTGAGTAACTACCATTCTTTGGGCAGTTTGATGACTTTGTCCCCTACATGAACTTTAGTTTTCTCCATCCAGTTTGAGAACGTCTTCAGTTTCAGCTTTTTCATGGCATCCCATAAGGAGTGCTTAGAAGATGGCAACAATCTGTCTTCAACAAATTCTTCAAACCGCTTTTGGCCTTTCTCTGTGTCGCCTGGGATATCTTCCTCTGCTTTTTTGGCACAAGAGCTGATGACACCACACTCTTCAAGGGAGACTCAACTGTAAATGGGTTGCCTTCGCAGTGCAGTTTTATCGACTGGTGGAGTTTCATGCCATTTTCTTGCGTTCTTACAGTAACATCTCCAGAGAGCTGGTAGTGCTTGTTCCACTCAGGAATCTTGGATACTTTAGGAAAGCTGTTGAGATACGCTTTACCATGTGGGCAAGATGCAGTGACATAATAAGAAGGTGGTTTAGGGCGACTTTGTCTTGACTTAACCCACCCATACCCCTGTGGATCTCCTGCTCTAGTGTCTGATCTGTGAACAACCTTGTGAATGGGAACTCTGACTTTGCTACAACAAAATCCCCAGACTTCAATGCCTCCCATGTCATAGGGTCCTCATGCTCGAGTGCGTTCATCTCCACGGTGTGAACTGGCATTACTCAAGTGTAGTTAAGGAAATTGTGCGCGAAGAAGTGCTTTATGATGCATTCCAACGCTGCCAGGTAGCCTTCCCAGTTCCCAGAGCGGCAAGCATGGATGAGCTGTTACAGGTTGCCCACTTGCTTGAGGTACTCTAACATAAATCGTGCAAGACCTCCAAGTCCTTGATCTTCATGCTCTTGTGGTTTGATCTTCTCAGAGTACCAGGCTGGATGTCATCATAGACATTAACCATCAGTGGACTGCGCTCATGTAGGGCCTCTCTGAAGGATAGGAAGATTCAAATGAAGTGTTTCATTTTATCCAGATGTTCACCATTCTCTGCGTTAGCCTTGCCCATATAACCTCCATTACAAACTTGCCATCGAGAGGAAAAAACTTAACTTTATTATACCCATCAGTCTGTTTCCTGCACTCACGATTTTGATTTGGTACATGTGAAATGCGACATCTGAATCAAATGCTGCATTTTTTGATTTGAAGCGACTCAAATTGGTATTTGATTCGGCACATGTGAAATTCGACGTCTAAACCAGGCCTAAGTGAAAAAAAGCCATAAAACTCCACACTCTAGGCGTGTTTTCTCAGTTTTGAGCCCTAAAAAGAAACTTGTGAGCTTTAGCAGCACATGTAATCATTCATTGGTGAAAGTTTATTAAAAATGCACTGTTTTGCTTTAGAAAAATGAGAGTTCAAAAATACAAGATGGCGGATCCAAGATGGCCACCACCAGTAATAGGTAGTTAATCCTGATGTCATCGCTGGTTGCCATGGTAGCCAATTTAAGTTATACGATGTGCATTATCAAGAGCAAGCTTCGTATAAAGTTTGGTCCATGTATCTAGAGCAAAGATATTTGCAAAACTTATTTTTAGCATTTAGCTAGCATAAAGTGGCATAAATTAAAGCTTTAAGTAGCCAGACACATGGAAAGACGGGGTTGGAAAAGTTGAACACCGTGGGATTCTTATAAATCAATCCAAAATTAGTGAAAAATAATAAAAAATTAATTTCGGCAGGAAAGTCCTAGGGGAGCGATTTTTGGACAGCTGAACCGCACTATTTTCACCACTTCAGATGCTGCATTCCATTCGATTTTGTCTCCTTACTGTTCCCCCCCTTTTAAGTTTTACTGCCAACCAATTTCTTTGCCCAGTTAAGTACTATTTCATCTCACTCAGCTTGATTATCAGTTAGCTTTCAAGTTATTCTGAGTGAATTCACCTAATTTTCTGTTTCAAGTATCTTTTTTTTGTAGCTAAGAATGTTTCTGTTTTGGTAATAAAGTGTGTGGTTGTCTGAAGGTAGATGTCTGTATGCAAGCTATTTTGTTGCTGATATGATAACAACTCTTATGTATTCTGGTCACAGATACAAGAAATCCAGTTGGCTTAATCCATGGCCAGTTCTCTCCTCGATATGTGCAAGTCAACCAACACTATTTATTTGACAAGGAGTATATTTACGCAGGTCAAAATGATCTTACCAAAGGATGGACAGTTCCTTGCTCTAATGATGTTGGTCCACCAATCATTGAGTTAGAACTCAAAAGTCTTCATCTCTTAAGTGCATTTTCTGTTAGAGGCTGCACAGAATTTTCACGCCCACCTCTTATGATAGAAGGATTCATAAGGAACAATACAGAACGTCGTGTGTATGACTGGGTAGCACTCAAGAAATACTACAGTGCTGTAACTTGGCATACTGTAAGTGATTACTTTTTTCATAATTATTGTTTGTAACGTAGCTGACAGCAATTATTTAACAATATTGTTTACTACATATTTACTTGAAAATATTGGTTTAAGATGTCAACAGTGTACCATAAACCTCATTAAGTGGATAGTGTGCACTTGTCTTATTTTCCTTTTGATTCTAGACCACTTGAGAGAGTAGAACTAACAATAAACAGAATCTCAGTCTCAATCTCATCAGAAGAATTGTATGGAAAAGTGTCATTTCCATTTCGGTTCAAAGCTTCATATGCATAAAATTTTTCTCACATCTAAATTTTAACGGCTTCAATTTATCATTCCTGAACTTAGCCAACAACCAACTTCCAACACAAGGATTTCTGATATTTTCTCTGTGATGAAGAATAAATAACAACCAGTAATTCCCTAAGCTGGTGCAAACTGTGAACTCCTGAAAGCTTCTTATAGTGTACAGTGTTTTGAATGCTCTAGTAGCGTGTAGTGGCCATTTCTGGCTATGTCAAGCTGATCACCGCAACATTAAAGCATAGAGTGGCAAAAAAAAACTTGAACAGAAAGGGAAAAAAACAATAAAATATTGTCCAATGTCACTGATGATGCAGTCTGAACAAGATGGAGACGATACTCCACTGTCAAACTCTAAAACTGCATGGAAAATGCATACTATAATTATCATAAGGCAGTCCAGATACAACACTGTATTATAATATAATACAATATATTATCATAAGGCAGTCCAGATACAACACTTGATCAAAGTTTGTCTAGAACCTAAATGCTAGCACTTTTGGAGAATATGACCTAACAATCCATACAGTTCTCAACCTTCAATAGTCTTAGTAACTTTTAACAGTGACTCAAGGGGCTCCTGGATGTATTTATTTTTGGACTTCTCACTATGCCATCCTCCCTGCTGTTGGAACAGCCTATCAGGTGTACCCAGGGCTGCTGCTGCTGATGCTTCTCCCTCTCTAAGACTATGGATATCGTAAAAGCCCAGATCGAGCCTTTCTTTCTGCAGCTCCTGCTTCGTTAGTTCACTAGCCTGACTATAAGACATGGGCTCCTTTCTGAGTTCCATGCTCTTCTTGGTCATCTCAATTTGACAAAAAAGCCTAGAATTGCTGTCATGCCTACCCATCTTTATGTACTTCTCGATCACTGTAACAGGGCATGGAGATATGTCACTGTGTGCTATGAAAACCCAAGAACCATTACAGAACTGGTTATTCGTCCTCTGTGTATTCAGTGGTTTGACTACGATTTTCCTGCCAACTTCTGCTACCTGTTGGACTAATGGGTGATGGCGCACATCTGGGTAACCTCTTTTCTTATGAACCCACCTAGCTCCTTAGATGGCAGATTTGAACACTGAAAGTGAACTCCCTTGCTGGATAAGATGCACCAAATACAGGGCAAAGACAGGAGGATCAGCTGGTAGGGTAGTGGCATTACACTGAATAGCCTGTTTTTTCCACGTATGATAGGCCTGGAAATAACAACGTACTGTCTTTAATGCTCTATCTTGGACTAAGATACCTGGCAGAGACTTCGCCAACTGCTTCAGTTGAGGATGGTTGACAACCTCCTTGCTTAACCAGACAGACAGGTTCACTTCCTTCTGGACAGTCGCACTGCAATTGAATTATGCAGATAATAAACAAGAAATTCCAACACTTGCATCTATACTATTTCATCAACAATAACACTACCATCAAACAACAGGTGCAACATAATGCAGGTGTAGCTCCATCCATCCCAAAATTCCTCTGCTACCACATAACCAACACAGCAACATGTACTCTTGTGTAGAATACCATTTTTTCAGTAGCATGAGTAACCCCTTCACCCAATACTCCTAGAGGTAATAAAATGCTATGACCGCATAAAGCAATTTATTTTATGCCACCATATAGCCAACATGGCACTAGTGGTCACATGGCCTGAATAACCGGTTTGGCCAACACGGCTGGGGGTAGTAAAATGTCATGGCAGCATGAAACATTCAACTGCCATCACCATATAGCCAACACAGCAGTGGTGATCAAGGATGAGTAACCCCTTTGACTAGCATGGCTGGGTAGTAAAAATGCCAAGACAGCAAGACCAAACCAAAACAATGCTAAGACAGTGCAGACAACACCTCATCATAATCTCAGTACACTATGACAACACTTAGCATAATTCTTGACAGCCACACGCAATGATACCTGATACTAACATAGTCCAAAATCCCAACAATGATGCAAGGATCACTGCCTAGTGATTTGAACCAGAAATTATCCTCGCTTGGGCCACTCAGGAAAACAAATACGAAGGGCTAGAATAGGAAATGATGGAATGTTTGATGTGAATACATTGTTCACCGCAGATCCTCCCACAAAAATCCCTTGGTAAGGTTGGAATGTCATTGAGCCCCTAATGAAGGTTTTCCAAGATCCATCTGTGTTGACAAGGAATGACCACCACACAGCTGAGGGCCACTGGGGGAGAAGTAAGGTATCAATTTCACCTCCAGCTGACATGTGTTTCAGATCACCTGGAATAAGGTGTGGGGGAGGAAAAATTCAGATGTTTTCTTTCAACCAAGACACTGTAAATGTGTCAACTGCTTGATATCTTGGGTAATTGCAGTATCTAGTGCAGAACCTTTCTAGTCTGGTCTGCAAGCTTGCAAAACGATCCACTTTGTGAAGACACCACAATTGGTCAACATATCTAATGCAGGTGTTACGGTCTCGCTTGAACGCCAGAAAGAAACTACAAAACTCTTCTACAAACCCAACTTATTTATTTAACAATATGTAATATAATCTTAGCTACAAAGGAGCGATTTCTAAACAATACAATCTACTATTAAACTAAGTTAAGCCTACTGCTGTAGTGATCGGGTAAGACGAAGGAAGACAAGTACAGTGTACACGCGTTTAGTCTAAGATGTAATTTACTGTAATCTCATTCTTGGATGATCATGTTACATTGGTAGATTATTAAATCACNGCGGTATAACAACGGGCTCACTTGTTTCCAATTGGTGTCCCTGTTGTTGTAAGTAATATATAGGGGATTAACCAAATACTGTTTCAAAGAGGGAGTTGAATTTCACCGTTTCGCAGCCCCCAGGCTCAACCAGGCCGAGCATGTGAGGGCCAGACTTGATGGTGGGGGCTGCGATAAGGTGAAATAAAGCTCCCTCTGCAAAACGGTATTTGGTTAATCCCCTATATACTACTTCCCAGATACTTACATTTAAAAACAAAAATATCTGAATGGAATAAACTTATGCATAAACCCACAAGTATGCATTGCAGACCAATCTTTGGAAATAGCCAGGAGGAAAAAACACTGACTTGCTTGGATAAGAAATGTACAAAAGAATAAAAATGTCAGCTTACAATGAACATTCCACACATATACATGTAGGTTGTCCATGATTTTCTGTTGTGTCTTACCCTCTCGTGAGTGACCACCTCTCCCTCAATGATCAGTTTTCCAAAATACCAAAAGTTTCCAAATCAAGTCACTATATTTGGAACCTCTCGTAAGCGACTGCAACCACTTGTAGAGCTAAAAGTTTGAAATTTTCTTTTGTTTTCAACCTCCCATAAGTGGCCACTTGACAGATAATAGAACGGAAACTGGATAATAAGGTGTTGTGACATAATCACATTCCTGGGTACTACAAGAAACGGAAACTTCTCAAAACTTCTCGAAATTGACTTTTTACATGGATAAAAGATTTGGTAAGTCTCTGCAGTTACCATATGCCCTGAATGAGGCAAACGTTTGACTCAGTATGGTCTAAGGTCTCGTAAGCGACCACCTCCCGTACAGACCACCTAGGCTTGACATTTTGGGTGGTTGGTTACAGAAGGTTTCACTGTACAGTGAAACTTCTTTTAAACAGACACCCTCTGTTAAGCGGAAATCTAGCCTGGTCCTGAAATTAACCTCTTAAATTTCCCTTTATAACAAACCCCTATTCAGCAGTCAGTGGGCACTAAAATAAATTGTATTTTGCTAATTTCTACTGTTAAAAACCTCTATGAAGCAGACACCAGACTGAATTGACAATGTGGCATTAGATTACGACCTTGACATAGTTGATTAAGTGGTCTTTTAAATGTAGACATGTTATCATTGCTGTATATTGAAAGGGCATTATTACTAACAAATTAAAGTTGGTAATGAAAGCTGATGAATTTGAACTCTAAAATATCTTCCGGACTATTGACTGGCTTTGAGGATGATTTTGCATGCCTGTTGTGATCAACCAGAGGAAAGGTTTTCTTCTAAAGAAGTGCAATTCAAAAAGTTTTGCCTAGCTGTGAAAACCAGTTGCCTTACTATTGAAAACAGTTACCAGTACTTAATGAATAAATTATAGAAACTTTCTCTAATAAGAGGATGGATACTATATCTTGGCCTCAGAGAGGCTCTTTATGCACAAGCCTGTGATAATTTCATACTTAATGCAATTGACTGTTTGCAGCTTTAAATCAGACTTAATTATTGTTCCTCTATAATCCGTGCACATACAACTGCAGTACTGTTTGTTATTGCAGTTAATTTAAATTTATTATTGTGATTTCTATACTAGTTCCTTGAAGACCCCCATTGATTTCTCTACTGAGGCATGATTGTACAATGAATCTCCTCTCTTTTTCATGAATGACATGCAGTATAAAAAGCCTGTTAACTGGCTGTTAAACAACTTAGATGGACCTCAAAGGAGTGCTTGGGTCACTTGCCATGAAAACACTTTAAATGTGACAAAATATTAGTCCACCCTTTACAATGACCCATATACCTATAACATATCTAATATTTATGCAGATACTTAGTTTCATCCCTTTGGTACAGTATTAGAGAGATTTGACTGTCAAGATATCCAAAATACCGGTGTGCTAATTGTGGTACATTATTGTTACATTGCAGTTCTTCAGACTTGACAGTAGCAGTGACAAGAATAAGATAATACCCTTGTCATATCATCCAGTTGGCAACAGCATAAAGTTTAGATTAAGACCAAGTTACGGCTGTTATCCAGCAGAATATGGTTTTTGCATGCGGCTGGAATTCTATGGAAAAGACTTGGGTAAATGAACATTCATTGTTTCAATATTCACTTGTACAGATGTTGTGATTTTCGATCCTAGTTATATTTTTTTATCCATCTTTTTACGTTTAACTTTACCTTACATCAAAACTGTCTGTTATTGGAGTAAATAACTCTAAGTCATGCAGGGTTTTGAATCTTGGCAATACTGCGCGTATAGATTTGAGTCTCACTTCATTAAAATGTATTGCTCCAATGTCAACTTTAATTTGCCTTTATGACTACAAAATGTTGATCTAATAATTTATTATTAGAAAACTACAGGTTAGCAACCAAGTAAGTAAGTAAGTGAGCGATAGATGAGTGCTTTCAAAGTTTGCGCAAGTTTTTGACTCTCACAGTAGCAATTGCTGACCAAAATCATCTTGAATTTCTCTAACTTCCTTACTGTATTCTGCACCAGTCTTAGAGTATGTGAGTCCGATGTTGTTTAGTAGTTTGATAACTGTCGTTACATTACACTACAGCCGGTGTCATTACTCAAATTTGAATGAGTTGACTCCCAGTAACTTTGATTTTTGGTTTTATTTGTTTTACCTCTACTGAAATTGCCTTTTGTCATTTTACTTTCAGAGTGCAAGACTCCTTTTGGTGTCGAATGGGGATACCAGCATGACAGAGCTCTCGTCAAAAATGAACAGATGACTGCCTCTTCAAATGAAAGTGGCAGTGAACCACACTTTGGACGTTTGTACTACAACTCTAAAGCTTGGTGTCCTCACGACCATTCGATCCAAAACCAATACACTAAAAATCAGCAGTATCTTCAGATAGACTTTATCTTTGCAAGCAAAATCACTGGGGTATCAACCCAAGGATTTGGATCAAGATATGTGGAATCTTACCACTTATACTATGCCTTAGACATCAACATGTTTCATTGCTTTGTTGATGAGAATGGTCAATATAAGGTGAGTGACTTACTGGAATGTTCACGCAGAGGTGATGTTACAACGTGTTGTCTTAGCAGTCAATTAATGCTATATTTCTTTCTTTAAGTCCTACATGTAGTTTAAGGTGGCTCCATAGTGATTTTAATTACAGCATGCATTAATGAAGGACAGCCGTGTTGTTTTAATCCCACTTTAGACTTTGTAAATACTTTTCCAGTCAGTCAGCTCAAGGAAAAGCATTTAATTTAGCAATAGTGTGTGTAAAAAAAAGTCTACATTTGAGTCAAGTGGTCCATCAGGCCAGAGCTTATCCCAGTTTCTGTACCATGCAGAGACCAGGAATATTTCTACTCCCCCCCCTGGATGGGATGCTATTTCATTGCAGGGTTACCCTAAGCATTAAATTTGCCTGTACCCATTTGTACACCTGGGTGGAGAGAGGCACTGTGGGAGTATAGTGTCTTGCCAAAAACACAGCACAATGTCAGCGGCCAGGGCTTGAACTCTGATTGCTTGATCTGGAGTCGAGTGCACTAAAAATCAGGCCTCAGCACCTCCACTAATGGTGTGTGTAAAGATGTCTAAACAGTTTTTTTGCTTCAGGTTTCTTATGTGTCAATATTTAAAAGAAAAAAAAAATACGCTATTAAACTGGCTGTTCTTCACACTAAGGTGAAGGCTGAATGTTAAATCTCCTTTTCATTACTTACCTCTATCAGCTTTTTGATGGAAACAATGATGGTAACACAGAATCAACACACTGGCTGAATTCTCCAATAATCTCCCGTTACTTGCGGTTTAACCCAAAGAAGTGGGTCAACTTTCCATGCCTTAGAGTTGAGGTTTATGGATGCAATGCAGGTACTATTCATACCTCTAGAAGGCCAGCCTTTTCTTTTCTAATACAAACCTTGTTTATGACTTAACTCTTTGTAACAATTATAGCAGGAGAGAAATAATAATTTTTATCTAGTGAGAGTTATATACATTGCACAGACAAGGAAATAATGCAGGAATTCAAATTACAATTGACCTAGCTGGCTTAACTTCCCTTTACCTGTGTTACTAACTTACATGAACTTACATTGTTTTATAATAAAGTTTCCATATAATGCACACTCTGTTTGGCTAAAACAGCGTGCTCTGCCGTAGAGCAGATGTACAGTAAGCTGAAATTCAAATTTTTACTTCAGAATTTTGACACATGTGACCCAAATAGAATGTTCCCTGTAAGTCAGAGAAATGCAATGGAAATGATCCATTTCTCTGTGGTAAACATAGCTGCCTAAGGTTATTGGTAACAACAGAAGTGTTAAAACTGTACGTTAAAAAAAAACAAGTTTTCCTTGATTCCGACAAAATGGTAACGGCGAAATAAACAAATTCTCAACCCAGCAAATGCTCCTATAAAAGACATTAGTATATTTGTTATGAAGGCAGAAATTGTACCTTAGAAGTAAAACGACAGAAAACACCACTTGAGCTGTCTCTGTTTTATGATGAGAAGCTTAATGTTTGTAAAAATGCTCGAACAACATTTACCGGTACATAGACTGTAGTAATGTTCGTTTGCTAAATAGTGATCTCCGGTCATCTCAGTGAAGTGAAAGTTAACAATTACAGCGCTTGATCACGGGCTGAGTGATCACTTGAAAGCTTGTTGTGATTTTCTCTCCCATACTCAGACTAGAACCTTAGTCTTTCAAACTTAGTTCGGGCAATCTTGCTGTAAGCTGTAAATAACTGTGGCTCCTTCAGTCAAATACAGCTCAGCATTTCGCATTTTCATCCATAAGCTTTGAGCTCCTTGTTTTGTAATTTTTATTGGAAAAGTGCATGTTTTTATGAGCCACTATGTGGCTGGATTCCTCTGGACTATAAACTATTAGATTCGTATTTTTAAATCAAACTAAAAAGCGAACTTTGAAACGACTGAACTTCTTTTAAAAGCTTCTTGAAACCGAAAGTCTAGCTGAAGTCCAGTTGGTGATTGACAGCCACTGCTTTGTTAGCCAATCAAATTGTTTGAACAGTTTTAACAAGGATTGTGATTGGCTCATTTTAGCGCGCATTATTAGATGCATGCTGTCACTACTTTTCCTCGTTTAGAAAATAAAGTTTGCTTTGAAAATATTAGCTGAATGTGTGGAAGAAATGGATTCTTTATCATAAAACGATATTGCGCAACATGCGCGGTGATGGTGGTCCTTCATTGCTCCGCAATGTTTCTGACCTGGCTACTCTTCATGATTGTCCTAAACTCTCCAAGAGGCAACAGTGGTTTGGATAAGAAGGTTTGCGGCATTGTAGTGGCAAAAGGCTTGGATGTTAATCATTATCCGACACGAAATTCGGGTCCAACCCGGCGGTTTGTACGAGTTGCAGGTCTCCCGCCTTCTTTGAAATGCTTGGCCGGTTTGAGGCTTGCTAACATCACTCTTTGTGTAAGCTACTTAGTGCTCTTAGCAGGCGACATACAGCAAAATCCAGGACCAGCGAAGAATTATTCTTGCTCGAAAGGATGCTGGAACAAAACCTGTGTCGGACAAACGGTTAAATGCGGCTCGTGCACAAAAGCTGGGAAGAAAAATCAAAGCAGGGCGTCGTGCTCGTTATGCCTCAAGATCTTTCATTTAAGGCGCTATGGCTCGGATGTCGGTGAATCTCTGCAAGTCATGCTACCTTTCCAACAGCGACGGGCAAATGCGCAAATGCGACAGGAAGATTTTCCACAGTATGATATTCCCGAACTACATGAATTTTCTTCGAAGAAAGGCCTTAAAATTCTACACCAAAACATCAGAGGTCTGTTAACAAATAAACATAACATCTGTCAAATCTTGGATGGTTTTAAGAATCTACACATTTTCTCGCAAAGTGAAACTCATCTCTCTGCCGACAATGAAGTTGAAGCACAAATTGAGGGATACGCGTTTATTGGAAAGTCTAGGAGTTCAGGTAAAGGTGGAGGCGNGAAAAATAAAGTTACTCCCAATACACAGTCATCTCAGGAGATTTTCTCCACTCCATTTCATAAAAAAGCGGGGGCAGCTTTAGTGAGAACTATTACTAGTTATTTAAATATCTCCATATCCATGTTTACTTTTCACCCTATAGGACATTGTCTTTTTCTTTCACAAGTTAACTATGCAAGATATTTTACCATCTCTCCCAAAAATGAACTGGCCTGTCGTCTGATTAAATGTTCTAGCGTTTTTGTGTTTTGCCGTGTTTTACTCATTTCTCTGACTTTCATCAGAGTACTCAGTAGTCCAAACTTGTTAGCCAGTAAGTGTTGCTAATCAGTTGCAAGCTATAGCTCACTGTAGTTCGTTTTTATACCATACTAAACTAGAACCACTTGTTGTTATCTTATGTTATGTTATATTAACTTAATTCCAAAACCTAGACTAATTAATTACTTGACAATACTGTCATTTAATATTATGAGAACTTTATATTGTCAATAAATTTCCAATGTTGTATTCCATGTAGCACTCTTTGCTCTTCCTAAAAAATTTCTACTATACCTCACAACAACAACTGAACACTCGACTGAACTTTCAGCAAGCAGTTATCTTGATCTATCACTGCAAACATCAAAGTTCCCAGTCAAACATTACTAATGCTGTGTTTAGACTTGAACGGTTTACCGAGGTACCAGAGTTTACTTACCTAGGTAAACATTTTCCGCGTGTAAACACCAACTGATACTTTGGTAAATGCTGCAAAAGACAAAAGAAATTTAACCGAGGTAAAAGTTGTAATTACCCTTTGATCTACCTTATTGCATGAAATTTTCGCGACACGTTAATTTCGCGAATTTCACAATTTAAAAAAAAATCGCGAAATTTAAGTGACACGAAAATTAAATGTCGCGAAATTAACAGGACACGAAAATTAAGTGACTCACATTATGTCAATAATTAAAAGAGCGACTTTATTACCATTACACACGTTTATAACAATCATTTTGAGCTATTCTGTGGTAATGTTCTGGTCCTCTTCATCACTACTGCTTTGCGTCTCCACTCCAGGTAGCACTTTTGTACAATCCTCAAACTGTCCATTTACTGGCTCCTTGTAGTGCTGTTCCACCCGTTGCTTAAATTTCAATTGCTTCAACGTTCTTGGTAGATGACTCCATTCTCACTGTCGCCTCTGGAAAAGAAGTGTTACCGCCTGTTGATCCGTATCAAGACATTTACGCAAACAATTGAACAACATCAGTCAGGAAACTAAAAGGCAACATTTTCTCTTTGAAGTCTGCAGAAAGAAATATTTAATGTACATGGATTATGAGGTCCATTGACCACTAAAAACGTGACTTGAATTCAAGCATGAACTACAAACAGTGCCTTGTAGACACTGTGAGAACATCTTTCTCGTTACTGTTTACATAATTTGTTGCGTTTCTGTTTATTTGGACATTGCTGATTAAGTTGTTTGATCAAATTCAGGGACATGTTAAATAACATTGACAAAGAAATAAAGTGTGTCTCACTCAAAAACGCGAAATTAAAGTGAGT